ACTTGGACAGAGAGAGAAATAAGCATGGCGAGAGATTTGCAAACTTACGCACATTCAACAGATTGGTTACTGGTGGCACAATAATACCACAGAAACACATACAAAAAGCTATATGGGTCTCATCGGATCACACTTCAGAGAGTCAGATCGATCATTTTTACATCACTAAAAATTCAGAAGGTCAACAGGAGACATGAGAAACATGAGGGGGGGGACTAACATAACTTCATATCACCGCCTGATTGTGGTTGCCAAGATGAAACTAAAGCTAAAAAAGTTCTGGACATCTGGGGAAACAGCATCATAATGGTTCAATACAGCCTTCCTTCAACATACTGACAAACTCAATGAATTCGAGATAACTTTCAACAACAGGTTTCAAGAATTACAGGACGTACTGAAGAAGGAGAAAATGTTATGGAAAACAATTGGGAGGGGATCAAAGAAGCAATTCAACGTGTCAGGAGGTTCTGGGCCGCAAGTAGCACCATCATCTTGGTCGAAACCCTGGACAAGATTCAAGAAAGGAAGAACATAAAGATAGCAATTAACAATTTCCAACCCAAAAAAAGAACAGACAAAGTCAAGGCACAAGCTGAATACATAGAAGCAAACAAGCAAGTAAAGAAGAGTATTAGAACTGACAAGCAGAAATGTGCGGAGGGGCTAACAACGACGGCGGAAAAAGCTTTGAGAAAAGGAAGTATGAGACAGACATATGACATGACAAAGAAACTAACAGGAAAACATCACAAACCAGAGAGATCGGCCAAGGACAAACAAGGTAAACCGATTACTGAAGTTCAAGGACAGAGGAACAGATGTGTGGAACACTTCGGGGAACTCTTAAATAAACCAACTTCATCTAATCCGCCGGATACTGAAGCAGCGTCTACAAACATCCCCATAGATGTCAGTCCACCAATGATCGAAGCAATAAGGATGACCATCAGACAAATCAAGAGTGGGAAAGCGGAAGGACCTGACAATATACTGGATGAAGCACTGAAGTCAGATATAAAGGCAACTGTAAACTTACTCCATATTTTATTCATGAAGAATTTTGAAGAAGAACAAATGCCGATTGACTGCAAAGAAGGATACCTTATCGTCGAATCCTTGCAGATAAATACTTGATCACATATTGTTAGGAATACTCTTATTGATTCTCCAGTACCGAACACCAATTTATAAAACGTTACTTCTGCTGTTTATCACGTTATATTTTGATAGAGAAACCTTTGCTTATACAACACAGGCTGTAGCGTTTTGGTTATTTTGTATTTTGTAAGTATTGTTTTTTCTTTCTTAAATTAGGACCGTTTAAATTGAGCAAAGAATTTGTGTTTCTATACAGTTTGATGCGAATCACACAAAAACTTTTCGTATGCTATGTAGAAGAACGTGATTCGGTCTAGTTAAATAAATTTTGGCTTGTTAATTCTGCGTTCGGATCAAATGTTGAAAGTTGGTCATTACATTGAGGGTTAAATAGGTGTTCAGAAATCAGTGGTAATAACAAAAAGTGTGTATATTTCTTTCTAACATTCTCACTAACACTGTTCCAACCAATAATTAAGGGAGCAGCTCGTATGGTGCTCACCAAGGTCAGAATTCCCGAGACTTGTGTACTGGTATCAAAGACTAGAAACTTGGTAAAGCCAAACAAAGCAATCATTCAATACTTCAGCTCCTTTGACAGAGTCTTCACTGTAGGTAGAGGTGCACTTAATTCTACTCCAGTTTTTTTATTTAAACGCGATCAACTTATTCGTTTAACTTACGACCCAAATGGCATTAAAACCGAATTCCACTTCATACACCAAACGTTTATTCGGAAATAACGAGTATAAATATATATTATAATAATCATAAGAAAATTCACAACAAACCTTTAATTTTTAGGTTTCTGAAGCAAGATTTCCAAAATGCATGACCGAAACACTGTGAAACTGAAAATGTCCAGGGTATAGACAAAGAAGATTGAAGAACATAAAACATGATTGCAAAATTTTTCAGCAAGAGTTAAATTAAAGCGGCAGGGCGAAAATAAAAACATAATAGTATTATCCAACAGATAACTTTGGTGGAACGTTCATGGTGTTCTTCTTACACTTATTACGGAGTAAACTTTAGTGTGTACAAATGGCTGGTGCTTTTCATTAGTGCCTATGTTACTGGTCATTTGTCCTGATTTCGGCAACCATCGGAATGTTGACTATGTTGTTTTCTGTTTCTGAATTCGATCATAGGCCTAATAGTTGGTTATAGGTAGGTCAGCCAAGGCACTGTCGCATTACATTTTGCGATTCCGAGAAAATGAAATGTGTTTCATCAGACGAACAGATGAGTGAGCCTGGAGTAATTGTACAAAAAGTATCTCACACAATAAACTCCTGGGACACCTTGCTAAAGACTTATTGAGATGAGTTCCATGTCACTTATGCTCAAGACAGAAATATAATTTCCGAAGATTTTCAGAAAGTCGAGCTTTGGAGAGCTTGGAGTGGTATTGGGTCCTGACGACGCAATAATTGAAGCCGAGCACATAATTACTGAGACGATTAGCATTCAACATGTGGCACTTAGGAAGGCCAGAAATGGTGAACACGGGAACACCCGATTGGTATGAAATTGTTCAGACTTCCAGGCGTGATCATTCCCTGTACCTAATCCCTATTCACAATAAATATATTATTCTATCCCCAGCCCAAATTCTTTTTAAGAAGCGTTAGACATCTTACCGACGTCAGGATAGGACGAGTAAGTATAGACAGTAGTGTGGCTTACATGCAAAATCTTATAGATTAGGCAGTCATATCATGACAAATCTACAATTTAGGGGTTAGGTCTATCATTATAGTGTAGTGACCTACGCGATTGATTTGATTGAAACAATTATTATTATAATCAATTGTACCGGTGATTGTTTTACTGTGCTCGTTTGTTTAACTGTGCTAAAGACAGCCCTATTCCTCCTCCATTACTTTTCCGCGGATTGTGACCTCGTACGTTCGTACTCTTGCGCGCTGATTCCACTTGTACTCCTTTTGGCACGATCTCGGTATTCGTTCGATACCACGAGATCGCCAACGAAATAAACTTGGTTACGCCCTATCTTCGCCTACTGATTTATTTGGTATGCGTTTCCCTGTAGTGGTGCTCATAGTCAATCTCGACTCGACACCACGCTACAATAGTAACAAAGGCAAATGTAGTAATATCAAATTAGACCATAATCCTACATTGGTGGGACCGTCTACAGAAACCCAGCATGTAATTAATTCTCACATCAACTTTAAATTGATCGACTGATTTCTAATCATGTTAATTCATCTTTCTGCTAGTAAGTTGATAAGTTGTCACATGTATTATCGTATTGTAATGTTGTCTAGTACTCATAGTTTACTAGCCCGATCAGTACTAATAACTGATCATCTATATCATTCAACTGGAAAACTGAGAATCATGACGGCTTTATCAATTCATATGAGTTTCTATCCGACAAGATCACTGTTTACTATCATGTTTTATGAATAGGAAACATTGGCTTGTTTTGGCGAGAACTCGCGTAAAGTAGTATAAACTTTTACTGCCTTATAAGAATGGGTGTTCTTGTCACTATTCGGCAGGAAGGTTAATTTTCCAAAACTCATTATTTGGTGGCCACATAATATGTTAAGAAACGTTTTACATTCAAAGTGATAGGTAAGTTCTTCAGAAGAATCCCAATTCAGCTCGTGACTAAGTAAGGACAGCGAATCATCTATAATCCAAGACCATTTTTCCTTCTTTCTCAAAAATATAAACGGATTTTGAGCTCATCCTTAGATGAGTCACAAAAACGGTATGCAGCATCGATTTTCGAAACTTTTAGTTACACCAAACTTAAGAGCAGGGAGAGTTCGTTCTTTCCTTATGGAACTTTTTACTTACTTCATCTTGGTCAACTATCAACATTCTCTCTTTCCAAGTAGACTGTTATATTGTCATGTCGGCCTCCTATAACGATGAGATAAACGGTTCTACGAAGGTAACTAATCTTTAACATGAATTAAGCAGAATGTATGCCTGGATTATTAGAAACACCCCACCTCATAGTACTGGTTAATGAAGGGTGGTATCGGAGAATAGCATTGACGCAATTAGCTTTAACTCCCTGAAAGATATAATCACCAGTCGTTTGGTAATAAAAAGCCTTCTTGAGGTTCACTAGTTGACTTCCAAACCAGTTTTCCGAAGGCTGCTATGTCCTATGGTTTCTCTCCAGAACTGTGGATAAAGTGACCTCTGAGTTACTTAATACCGTTGTTAAGACATATATGAAGCTCCATTTATGACTAAACTAATTCAGCAAGTTTCCCTACTTCAAAGAGTAAATAAACAGGACATTGGATTCAGGAAAACTCCCAATTCAGTCAGCTCCGGGGCAATAAATGTGGTAGCTATTTTGTGCAGAAGGATAAGATGGGTATAGTTACTGCATGTAATATTACTTGTAGCCCATTCTATATATGTTGTCTCAGACTTTTAAAGCATCAAAATAAGGGTAGGATGAAGCCTCTGATATTAAACACCTAGCAAAGCTGTTGTCTATAACACCTTAGCCGAGGATACAGAGGCCCGTCAAACTAAAATTTGAAAACGAAGAGGCTTAAAAGTTTATAAGGAAAATGGTTGATGAGTAGAGAAGCATATATATATATATGGCGGTTACTTGATCGAGAACCTTCAACTACGGATTTGTTCAGCAAAAATAGTATGTTCAGGATAGGTTCCGAAGACTAATAAAATTATTTATTTGGGCGGTTTATTTAGCATTAGAGGTAAAGTCATCTCGTTTACAAGTCTTAAATCGCATAGACTGAAAAGTCTGCTATTTTATTTAACAGATTTTTAAGCCTCAAGTTCATGGCCGTATTTTGACTGTGTCTAAATAGCCGGAAGAGATTGTAGAGAAATTGTTTGTTTTATGCCATCTCGTTGTTGAGGAATTGAGTATTGAATTTGGACCTTGAAATGGTTAGCGATTTAACCTAAGCGGATGGACGTCCGAGATGTTTTGTCGTTTGCGGTAGACCTTACTGCTTACATTATATATTTATTCAGTCACCAAGCCCACAGTTAAAGCGGTCTTTGAAACCTCCTCCTCCACCATCTCTTCAACTTGAAGCAGATGCGAAACGGCCTAAGGTCAGCGCTGATCACATATCCGCGTTTTCTGACACTTCATCCGATGTTGGTGATCTCGAAGGTAGTTTCCTTATTTAAAACCCACAATTAATAAAAAATTTTATTAACTTGTGTTTTTATGGCTAAACAAGTATGGCGAATTCAGAAAGTAGCTTGCTGCTTCGTCCATTAGTGAAAACTATATATATATATATATATATATATATATATATATATATATATATATGGCACCACCATGAAGTATGAGAGTGGACGCGAGCCGCTGTCCGCCTTTCAGACTTACCTTAAGTTTTGGTAGCACCAAAAATGTGACATTGGCACTTATACTGCCCGTCAACTGACTTGTGATTTGAATATCCTGCTTGTCTACGGAGCGTAAAATGACGCATTACGTATAATGTAGTAAGGTCTTCATGAAATCACTCTTCAGCGACTACGCTTTTCTGAAGTGATTTAAGTTTCACTGATGGTTACTTAAGGAGGAACTTCAAGCTCAGGCGACAATTATTTGACCGTTACAAAGAATCGCAGTGGTCGTTTGCTCCTCATTTCCTTAATGTGTTATTCCATCAAAGGAATTTCAATACGTTAAAAACGTCCCTAGCGTATTGTCGGACAGACGATGGGGTCGTATCAACCAAACTGAATTTAGAAAAAAAAAGGTTGTTAACCTACTGTTCGAATTTGGTATTATTCCCACTCAAGGTATATTTATAACAACCAGTAACAATTCCGATCCTTACTGATAACTTAGCAGTAGTAAGAAGTGCGAATTAATGTCAAACAAACTTATCTATCAAGTTACTTGTATTCCATGTCCAATTAAACAAATGTTTTTCTTATGAGTGTTTTTTGTTGTATTTCAGATTTTTCACGTCCTTTCAATGCACCGGATTCGTGGGATTCGGAAACAAACAATGGGTTTACTACTGTTGGAGCAAATGAAGTGACCGAGACCACTGTCCGTCGACTTACCGTTCTTCTTGAAAAACGTGCTCTAAGCAACCAGGAAGCTCGAACTAAGTTCCCTGACCAACCTAAGCGTTTTATGCAATCAGAATTGGAACTACAAGAAACACTAGAGGAGATGCAAGTTAGTATCCTGTAGTGTTTATGGTGGTTCTTAGTAATAACAACCTGATTTTTAACTACTATGGGGAGTTTTATACGAGTTAAATATTGAAAATTATGTTTTTCTGTCATTGATGTTATACAGTTCATAATCAAGGAAAGCGTAGTTATGGCCAACTTCCAGGTGCCATATTCTCTGTCTACATTGATCATTTTAATTCAAGAGCGTTAAAATATATGTGCACATATCTAATAAGTTGTTATTGATTATATCTGATATAATTGGGTTATATGACAGTTGGTTCACTTGTGAGCTTTCTTATTTTGTCGTAATATCAGTCATTCATTCAGACTAACAACATCTTTTGAGTTTTAAATTATTGTTCTCCCTAGTTTCCAGGATTTCGTAACAGTTTATCCATTGTTTACTAGTCAGTCTCTACATGACGTCTCGCGGTGGCCATGCTGTTTACGAACTCAAGTGGACGAAAAGCAAACGTCCAGCGCTTAAATCGCTTTGGTGGGTACGAAGTATCCATCTAGCGGAGTTAGAAAACCCTGATCCCAAATGAACGGTGTACATGGGCTCCATAATCTTGACGAAAAATGGCGTATGAACCTGTTCTTGGCCACCAGCTACCACGGAACCTTATCTCCTAACGTTCCCCCACTGCCTTATGGATTAGATCTGAGTCAAAGACTCGACGAGTGGCCCCCTTAGAAAACCATGTGTTTCAGTTTGGGCATCTGGGGAGTATCCGAACCCCTACACAAAGTTTGTTCAGCATGTATATTTTAGTGTCAATGTTTGTTTAAATAAATAAAGTACATACCTCGTAGATAACTCAGAGACTTTATAGGTTGATTACACATGGTAGACTGAACACAGCCTTCTGTCAACCTACTTCTGTTTTTATTTATTAATGGATGTATTAGTCGATATTATTTTATCATGTATAACAAGTCCTCTAGCCACTTCTTTCAGAGTTCATAACTACTTACTGATCTGCACAATTTAAACAAAACTGTGTTTATGTTTAACTTTCTTCATACAATTATGATGATTATAAATTGATCGTAATAGTACAAATCCTCTTCCATTTACTTTTTCATTACTTCCATTTTTTCTCAATTCGTTTTTGTTGACTCACATGTTACCATTCCCTCTAACTGTGCTACTAATCACAAGTGCCTACTTATCGATCAGTGAATTTTTGTGCCTTGTCGATTGAGTTAAAACTCCCATTCATAAATTTGATAAAAAGGCTAATAGGATAAAGAAATAAATCTTTTGAACGATTTCCACTGATATGTATATTATTTACAATAGTAATTATAAAAAGACAGACTAAAAAATTCAGCGAATGTTTAGTTACAGTTTTGTAATACACCGACTCAGTAGATAATGTGACTAAGGGAGAGACATAACATTTTATAGGAACATAAAGATGAAGAGCATTTAGAGAAAGAAGTTAATAAAAATTCCTTTTCACTCCGCACTGGTTCAGCTTAAATCAATGACCGAAGCAGAGAAATGGGTTGTACAAATTTTTTTGGACACAAAGGTCCAGTTAGTAGATGCGGATTTTAATTGCTTTGATGGTGTTCTAAAGAAAAATACAAAGTACTCAGTATGTTATATAAAATACGGTGAATAATTTGAAAAGTTTTATTCAATTATTTGATATTTTATGGTAATAAAGTGAATAGGAATACATCTCTTGATCGTCTTTAACTGTCCATTGCTCAACCAGGTCGGATAATGTTCGAACATAGGACGACGGACATGTTGCTATAGTGAATTAGTTGGAGTCTACATAAATTATTAACGTTTGTCCGGACAGATTTACTTAAAAAAATTTAATAGCCGACATTAGTTTTTATTTCCCCAAAAATTGATTTATTGTTTTAACGTATGTTTTAGGTGCTTGCAGCCAATCCAGAATTATACCCAATCTTAGCAGAACAAACACGTCCCATATCACTATTATTAGGTTTATTGGCTCATGAAAATACAGATATTAGTTTATCTGTTATTGATTTGTTGCATGAATTACTTGAATCTAGTTGTTTACAAGAAGCTGGATTAGACAAAGTTAATCAATTTTTAGAAGTTTTGTTTTCTGGACAATTGATACAATCACTTATACAGAATATTTCACGTTTAGATGAGACGAAGAAAGATGAAGCTGACGGTGTGCATAAAACACTTGGTGAGTTTAACTTGTTAGATTGGTTATTGGTATTGGTTAAATTAAAATCACTCAGTCAGTCAGTTACAGCGTACAACCTCGTACGCATGTAAATAGGTTCGAGTTACTATGTCCGATTAGTACAAAGATAAAATTGTCAGGCCGAATCTCAGAATAGTAGAGGTAGTAACAGTATGATTGGTAATGGGGAAGATAAAGCATTGAAGATACGATCCGACAAGGAAATATAAATTAGTGAAAGAAAACAAAAAAAGAGTTATGAGGAATTTAGAATCTCAGAATTTGATGGAAGACAAAGAACGGATACACCTATGCCATTGCAAATAGTTTTGAGCCATGTCATTCAAAGTCTTTCAACATTGGTTGCGATAATTACGAGGGCCCCAACCAGGTAGTCTACGCCTATTGACACGGCTAGGTTCAGTTGTCAGTGGATTCATGGACTCGTTCCATGTTTTGGTTTGACTGCCCCTAACTTTCTTCCAACCTACTCCTACACCACTAAACATAGCCCGTCGAGGTAGGCGGTGGTTGGGAATACGTAACACATGTTCCAAACACCTTGGTTGACGATTTACTACCTCATCATTTGATTTCTCACCTTTGCCTAGTACTCTTCTTAAACCAGACATTGCTTGCTCCGTGGTCCCAAAATACATGAGTAATGCTTCGTATACACCTGTCATTCATTCTGTCTGTAACTAACAGTGTTGTGACGCCATGTGTCCAAGAGTTGATACTGATACCTAGTCTGCCTATATCAGCCCAACCGGCTACTCAAGCAAAAAACTGAAACTGAGAAAGTTTGTTGACGAAACCGACCCGACTGTACGTGTACGGATTCATATATATATATATATATATATATATATATATATATATATATATATCCCTTGGGAAACCAATCCCTCAAAAATGGAAGCTATTTGTTTGATTGGTCCAGTGTATGAGACAGGATATCCCCTAAATATTCTATTTAAATGGTTTTTAGTGCACATCATGTATACTAACATTAGCTTCAGCACGGAGCACTGAAAGCTTGCTTCATCTTAGCATGAAACTCCGCATCAGAAGTGATCACCTGTGACCTTATCAGGAATCGAGTCCATGACCTACAGGCCTCGCAGCCACCACGTCACATTTAGATCTAATAGTTTACATTTCTCAAGCCCAGGTATTTGTGCTCCCCAGCTGCGTAAATAAAAGTAATTCTGCTTACACAGATACTACATACACTGAACCACCGATCGTACATGCAAATGTACCATTAAAGGAGCCAATCAAACATTTTGTATTCTCTATAATAATAATAATGATAATAATAGTTATTATTATTATATGTCGTCCAAACCCAGAAACTCTCATGTTTAAGCACATGTGATGTGAAATCACAGCACACCATAAATACTAAGTCTCAATAAATACATAACTTGGAAAATTTGTAGTACAAAGCTGAATAACAGTTCCATAGTTAATTAACTGTAATTTATGAATAGGAAAATATTTCGCAACAGTTAATGAGCCTAATAGAAACTTAGTATAATATAAAAATATGCATAGGGAATATATAAACTGACTCTCCCCGAAATAAATACAGGAAAGTGACATGCAAGTAAATTCATACGCAGAGTGAAGTCATTGTAAATAGATTTATATTAGTCATAAATGGTTTAAGATATAAGAATAAACATTTCTTCACCCAGAAGTGATGGTTAGCAACCAGCTTATTATCGCCGAAGTCTGGGTCGACAGATTGTTAGTTCACCACCTAACATGTATCGAAACAACTTTTTACTAAGTAATGATAATAATTCGGTTGATGACTTAGTGAGTCTTTACTAATGGAGTTAGTTGAAACATGTAGAACGTGCACTCAGTTACTACCTACCTGGGTGCGCGATATTTGCTGGTGTTTGGGAGTAAGTTGAAAGTTAGGGGCTGCCAAATCAATACATAGCATCATTGATTGTTAGCCCGAGCCACGTTAGTACGTACAGACTACTTGGCTAGGATCCACGTGGTAACTTCGATCAGTGGTTGGAAATGCTGAGTGATATGGTTCAAAATCGCATTGTCGTAGATGCATTCAATCTTTTCCTACCCCCGAGTTCAAAATTTATTTTAAACTGTTTATTCCGCAATTTTTTTCTCGAATCTTATTCTCTATTTCTTATTTTCTCCACTGTCACTGATAATATTACTACAATCGCTTCATTGCTATCCATCTTGATAATTTGATCTTATTTTATAGATATGGTATGGTAGCTGTGACAGGTCCTCATACTGATTATGATTGACTGGTTAAAAGTAAAGTTAGCCCATGATGTAAACTATTTTTTCAAATTACACAATCTATGCAAATATCCAATTCTGATGATTGTTTACTCAGGTTTTGTTTTTTTATCAACAACTTTGTTTTCTTTTTAATCCACTGTAAACTTTTCTCTCACTTTATTTCTAAATTCATTGATAGGAATTGTTGAAAGTTTACTAGAAATTCGTCCAGATATGAATGTGACAATGGCAAATCAAGGTTTATTTGCATGGCTTCTACGACGTTTACAAAAACGTCCAGTATTTGACAAAAATAAATTATACGTTAGTGAGCTATTATCAATCTTATTACAAATGGATGAAGCTAATCGTCGTCAATTAGGTGAAGTAGACGGTATTGATATATTGTTGCAACAATTATCTGTTTATAAACGACATGATCCTGGAAGTCAAGAAGAAATTGAATTAATGCTTAATTTATTCGATTGTCTTTGTAGTTCACTAATGTTGCCTGAGAATAAAGATAGATTTTTAAAAGGTGAAGGTATACAGCTAATGAATTTAATGCTTCGGTAAGTTAAATAGTTTTTATCAGTTTTATTGGTGGTTATTTTATTCAGTTAATACTTTCATTGCATTCTGGACCTCAGTTAGAAAACCATCGATAACTAGATTGCGTTGGATATATGTTATATCCTAAACTCTTCATCAGTGACGTAGTTCTTGATACATTGGACCAGTCAGAAACTGGCTCTTCAGTTCTTGTTGTAAAAACGGTCGGATTTACGATGGGTCTGTGAGAAAAGTTCTAGTTTATGTTTGTGAAACCTACCCACTCTTAGCTTAGGGTGTTCGATGACGCTTGGTATTCGATTATCATTATCTCCGAAGGATTGTTAGTGTCAGAATTAGTTTCACTTCATTTGTGCGCTGCGTATTTTCTTTTGGTTCCATGTCATGCCAGAATTTGTGTCCATCTGTACTATGGTCATCGAGTTTTAATCACGTCACCTGAAAACTCTAACAAGTGAATCTTGATCAGACCGAGTGTACATCCACCAATACTTCTAGAACTAACGTTCTTTCATGTCTGGTGGTGTACAGGCATGTCGGGAATAGGACGGTTGTCACCAGTGTCGTTGGATGATCGCTGAGTTACATCGCGAGTTGATTAAAGTTGAGGTTGTACCATGGGATGCCGAAATAGCGGCTCTAATTTTTAAGAAATATCTACGTAATCCAAAAGTCTTGTGCTCTATCTATAGCGGTGTCGTGTATAGGGACCGATGAGGAGTCTCATACTAGGACGAAACAACTGTGCGATACTCCCTGGTTTCCAATGGCGACCCAACTGAAATCAATATGTGATAAATGAAACACATCTGTTTTCAATTTTTTATCTCTGTAAAATTATCATTATTCTTTGTGTATATTCTAGTGAAAAACACATGTCTCGCGACAGTGCTCTACGTGTTCTTGATTATACTTTATGTCCAGTTTCACAATTAATGGATCAAAATACCAATGAATTACAATCACATCAAAAGTCTACTATCAATACGGTGGACCCTGAAGCTGTAGTTATAGCTAACTGTTCGAAGTTCATTGAAATTTTAGGTTTACGAACTATTTTCCCATTATTTATGCATTGTCCACGTGAACATGCACTTCGATCAACTTCGTCTGGATCAAAAACCAAGGTGAAAGTTATTAGTGGTCCTACTGCAGCTGAAATGGAAGAACATGTAATTAAGTAAGTGTACACTATTCAGTTTGCTGTGCAGCAGTTCTCTCCTTTCTACTTTCTGGGTACGAACTAAGGTTATTAAGAATAGTGAATATTGGGTTACTAGTATTCAATCATAGGTATCTTCGAGGGATCAGTCTTGTATTTTGGGACCACCGAGTGAGTAATGCCGAGGTCAGACCCAGATTAGTAGGTGAGAGTGGCAAATCGACTGATCAGGTAGTGAATCTTGATCGAATGAGGTGGGTGGGACATGTGTTATGTTTGCTTAACCATCGCCTACCTCGACGGACTATGTTGTGTGGTGTAGGAGTAGGTTGGAAGGAAGGTAGAGACAACCAAATCTAGATATGAAGACACTGATTATTAAACTGAGTCATGTAGGTAGGCGTGAACTAACTGATTGGAGTCCGCATGGTAATCGTAGCAATTGATTAGGAACTTCGGGTGACATGGGTTAGAGTTGCTCACAATAGGGCAAATGCATTCACTCGTTGTTTTCCCTTACAACTTAAGTCCCGAAATTTTCTTATACCCTGTCTTCCTTTTCTATACCTAATCTTTTTTACTACCACTGTGGCTAGTTTTTCTTACCTCTACTACTCGGATTTGTCTTGAAGTAATTTTGGCAACTTGGACCGATGTATATATGTGCCTGGTCCTACGTTGTAGCTGACTGACTGAAGTAATTTTTACCTCACTGTACCAATGTGATATGGCAACGGACGGATGCATGTATGTGCCAGGTTTTACGTTTCATATAACTGATTGGCCAGTTGTAACTATTGATTACAGATGACATTACTATTATTTAATGAACTTCTTGAAACTTAACGAGGTAATAGCTTATATCGGCTGATTACTGAGTAAAAACCAATGTCGTGTTTATCTTGTACTTACTACTGATCGAATTCTGTTGATCAGTTTTCAATGTTAGTCGGCGCCGGACTATCTCGGTGGTAATGTTTCAGGCTGTAACACTACGTACTTACTTACATCTGTTATCCCTCATAAAGGAGCATAGGCAGCTCACCTCCATTCGCCATCGAGCTATGTCCTGGGCAGTCCTTTTCAGTTGTTTCCGATTGCTATTCATCCTTTTCATGTCTGCTTTCAATTCTCGACAGTCTGTACTTTGGCCTTCCTCTTTTTCATTTCCCTCCAGGATTCCAAGTTAGTGCTTGCTTGGCAATGCAGTTTGTTGGTTTCTGAAATGTATGTTTTATCCACTTTTAGCGTGTGCTCCTAATTTCCTGTTCAGCTGGAATTCGGTTTGTTCTCTCCCACAGTAGGCTATTGCTGATGATTTCGGGCCAACGGACATTGAGTATCTTACATAGACAACTGTTTATAAATACTTGTACGTTTTT